TCCATGTGTGTGCACCGGGCCTGCCACCTTGTCTAGGTCACGATTCGTTTGAGGGTGTTGTGTCTTATGATATTGCATTGTATGTACAATACTTCGTCCACAAGTGCAGGTGGTTCACACTAGAAGAGTTAAACAGAAGCATCTCCTTATTTAATTTCAAACAAGGAGATGCAAATGATCGCCCCTCGGAAGTGAATTTAAAGCAGAAGCTGAGCGGGCATGCCGTTCAGAACTGGAACATGCTAAGGTTCCTGCCTGTGTTTGTTTTCGGCAAAGTACTAGATCTCGATGATCCTGTGTGGCAGCAGGTGTTGATGCTCTCAGAGATCGTCCAGCTGATCTGCACTCCAGCCATCTCGCTTCCAATGATAATGCGGCTGAAGGACTTGATTGAGGATTATCTTCTGGGGAGACTAGAGCTCTTTCCATTTTGTTCTCTACGACCTAAGCACCACTTTCTTGCGCACTATCCTTACCTCACCATGCAGTTTGGCCCATTAATAAGAGTTTGGACTATGCGCTGTGAAAGCAAGCACGGTTACTTCAGAAAATGCGCGAGAAATTGTCAAAACTTCAAAAATATCACATCCACCCTAGCTGAACGACACCAGCTTCTCCAAGCATACAAGGCATCTGGTTGCCTCTTTCCAACTGCCTATTCTTTGACATCTGCATCAAGACTTCAGTTGAGTCTATACAGTGATGACATTCAAAAGGTCATAAAGGATTTTTTGGGATCTGATGATGATATCCACTACGCCTATAATGCCGAGTACCGAGGACTTGCGTACAGGAGGGACATGATTCTGGTCTTATCACGAGAAGATGATCGGCTGGTGTTTGGTCAGATAATTCTAATTCTGGCAAAAGGCCCTGCGATCTGCTTCCTTGTACGAGTCACCCGGTCGTCCTTGGAACCTTCAATGCAGTTGTATAACCTCTATGATTGTGAATCTGGAAGTTTGAAATGTGTTACTCCAAGCAGCATAATTGACTATGTTCCTCTTGAAGCATACCGGCTGGGCCAAGCACAGCGCCCCATTGTGGTGCTGAAGCATGCAGTTTTTTATTTGATTTATTTATTTCCTTACATTGTCTCTCTTAGATGGAGCTTTCATCGCTTATTGCCAGCTGGCTGCCAAGCCTCCCATCAGAAGATGTGGAAACTGTTGTTTCCAAGCTAGAAGAGTGCGGTGTAACAACCATGGAGCATCTAAAGTACATTGAGGAGAGCGACCTGGACCTCCTAAACCCAGTGAATAGAAGGATCCTTTTGGAAAGGTTTCGCGAAGTCAGTGTGACAACCAAGGCACCCATACCTGCTGCACAACCTACAGTGAGTGTTCCTCTTCCAAGCACCTCACGTTTCGAGAATTGGAGCGAAGACTTCTCCATTCCATGGGATTCGTTTCCACAGAGGCTTCTGGAAGCATGCTACAAGAATGCAAGGCCAACAAAGTCTGACCTGAACCAAATGGTGAGGCAATTGAGTAACAGAATTATCCAGGAGAGCTTCTCGCCGGGCAGGCGCCACCTGAGGGTAATTGCTTCAAAGATTGTAGCTAAGTGTCCGTTGTCATTTCAAGACATGCTGCAAGGCACAGTTATTGGACAAGGCATTGAAACTTTGCTCTGGAAACTAGAAAATTGTGTAAATAACAAGAAGAGGTCCCTAGCGCAACCTCTTCCAGAAGAGAGCACATCCGACCCTGATGCGTTTCATCAGCCCACAAAGACAGACAGTAGGGACTCCTACGGATGCGTGGCCTGGAAGCCTGAGCTGCCTCCAGGAAAGACAGCCTACACTCAGGATGAAAAGAGAGAACGTCTGGTAACAGAATATCGCAGGGTATCTCGGGATGATAGACTAGTCACAAAACTCATGAGTGAGACTTACGCAACCCAGAGGCTACTGATCAACAGCTCCAAGGGGATAGGCAAGGTGAAAGAGGACTGGCCATTCCTTTTTGAGGAGCACCATTTTCTCAATCATGCAGAGCTACTGCTCGGATTCAACGTCAGCGAAGTCTTTGATGATAACATGAAAAAGATTGGAGTACAACTGTACAGGTACGCCTACAGTCAACTGAAGAACGAGGCTGTGAAGAAGTGCCTTAAGGACGTTGAGGATGCTAAAAAAAAAAACTCTAAAAAATGTGACCCCCGAATATGACAGCACTCCGCTCCTGCTGCTGGCAATCTTCGGTGAAGACATTGAATTAATCTTCAAAAATGTTGAGGTAAGTTTTTGTATTCAATGCTTTTAGTATATCGGTTGCTTTACGTTTTTTAAGCGAAGTATATCTACAGAAATCTAAAATCGAAGTAAATCATCAAGATGTCACGTGAAAATGGAATAGAAGCACCGCGGGCGGTATTATTAGTCAAAAATGGGTGTGATACACTATTTTTTTATTCAATCTGTTCACTTTGCGCCACAAACAGCTCTAGGCCTTAGTAGTATGCACACCACGCTACTCATAAAACAAAGAGCACAGTTACAAAGACATTAAAGATAAAAAAATACATAAAACTAGCACAGTCTGCTTTTGTGACTTCAGCATGATGAGGACCACTTTTAAACGTTAAAAATTAGAGAACAAATCCAAGTCACTCTTACTGAGTTAAAAATTAATTTCAATTGTGTCATCTGTAATTCGAGTTTAACATTTCATGAATAAGATAAAGAAGAGGCTTTGTTGTGCTTTTTCGGAACACAAAAAGAAATGGCGCTAAACGGTGCTTTAGGCGTCTGCGTTTTCTTGCCCTAATCCTCACTACATGCGCTTGAGACGGTGCGTCATTTATCGAATTCACTACCTTGCACAAAAACAACAAATAGCAACAGCGTGTCAGTTCTTTTCGTGCCAGGGCTTACTCTGTCTGTTAGGTGTGAAGGCGCTGCTAGCCTGAGCTTGCAGTGCCGATTGGTCGACGGCTGCATGTTAATTCACCCTCATATCGAGGATGACAGCGCGGTTTGGAACGAAAGATGTGCAAACAACAAACCAACAGCCTTTTGCACCCGTCGCGCCACTGAACGGTCGTCAGCGGAAGTTCTTACGCATTTCGAGGGTAATAATGCCAAGTGACCTTTGGTTTAGTTTTTCACCACGTTCTGTCCTAAACAATATGCCTTCGCCTAGGTTTGAATGCCCTGAGACGAGACGTACTGAATGCACATCAGATTACCTTCACATCGATATTGTGACCTGACTGTTCTTATTGCTAGGTTTGTGAGCATATAAACAATAAAAGCAAAATGCCGTTCTCCAATTCTTTTTTGCTCTCTCACAGCTCTTTTGGGGATGGGGGTGCAATGATGAATTGTTTTTGCATAATCTTCGGTTAAAAAACAGCAGAAGCGTTGGATGCTACGTAAACTCATAAGCTTTTTACATTTTTGTGTTATTTCTAACGAAGCTTTCATTTGTTTTTTTCTCTCACTAAGACGCACCAGCAGTCAGCGTCTAGATATCTCTAGATAATGATAATATGGACGTTCATGTAATTTAAATGAAACGGAATTTAAAGGCTGCGCTTCGGCGCCGAATGTGGTGGAAAACTGAATCAAAATCGCAGCTCGAATTATTTTCTGAAAGCACCGGCCATTTGGTATCATCACAATTCTCGAAGCACATGATAGTTTTCGCTGACAACTGTCGCTGCACAATGATGGGGGTAAGCTACATGTTGCTCCGATATTCGCGTTTCTTTCATACGAGACTTTGCACTCTGGTGTCCTGTGCTGATGCAAGAAAGCGATCGCTTGGTTCGTATGTGAATGTCAACCTTTTTAGTCATCTGAAATTATTGGATTCTGTACTGTGCCTAATATCCTCACTGCGAAAAAAAATGGCCTCTTTAATTGCTTCAATTCATCTTATCATCCAAATCAACCAACCAAAAAAGAATATATTTGTCCTCTAGCCTGATGGTTCGAATGGCTGCCAGTATTGGAGATTGGGACTACTGTAGGCGCAGGTGCTGAACTAGGAGCATAGGAGTCTGGGCAAAAACGTGTACATTGTGGAATTGATGCCATGGAACAAAAAGTGTTGAAAATAAACGTCTCAAATTTTTGCTATTAAAATTAAATAAATTTTAGCATTTTAGCAATGCAATTTGGCTTATCTGTAATTGAACTTTGCCCGCCAGAGTTCCCCATGAGCGAAGCCTGCATAACCTGGTAATTTAGCAGATGATGAAAAGTGCAGCGATATCGAATATATATATAGCTTACATCATGTCACAATATGCCACATCAATGGTGCATTTTTGTTTTGGTAGTTCTTTTTCACTTGGAATCATCGCTTTGGGATAGCCCAGATTGAACCCAACATTTTCTGAGCTTTGCGCATTATCTGTGGTTTTTGCAAATGAGAACACCTTTGAGTGTTTCTGTTTGTTTGTTTTTTTATGAAAGCAACTGACGATCTTCGTGCTCCGCTAGTGCATCTGTCGACTTATGAGATTGTTTTAGCATCTTGTGGCAATATCATCGAAGAGACGACAACAATTCAGCAACATTGTCCATAGGGACTCTAGTTCTGCATTTAATTTATCAATATTGAGCCGCATACATTATTAAGGCATACTCTCTTTTCTAAACAAATTATACAGAGGTCAGGCAGTACCTTTGAATTGTTCAAAATTGTTTGTTTATGTAGAATTCTTGAAAACATTCAAGTAGCTTGCCCCCTAAATGTGGCAAAAGCAAATTAGACCCAAGTGCTTAGACATAGCACGGGTCATACTAAAAGGACATTTGGTCGTCTGTCCTCATTTTTGTTTACTCTTTGTCTTTCAGGAGAATGCCACTGACTCGGATCTGGGTGATATGGACCCAAGCCCAATCATATGTGTTAAAGGTCAGTATGTGCTTTCAAATTCTGGCCCGAAACATGAAGGTGGACGAGTTCTGTTCTCATACTGCATCAATTGTGATTTATAGGAGCCAACAACTACACAGCAAGCGTTGTCTCAGTGCCGGCGATGACCACAAGCAACAGGGCAGGCTCATTCAAGTTGATGTTCCTGCTCTATTTTGTGTTGAACATTTCGTTCCCAGAAGAAGTGGGCCTTACACTTGAATTTATTCAAAGGTAAGTGCTTCATCACCCCTGCTTTTATTGTTAAATTTGATCTGCTTGTCATATGAAAGATGTATCCTTTACACAAAACATAGCTTCCATTGGAAGAACCCCAGTGCCTGCTGATTTCTTACAATGCTTTGATTTTGCATGCCGAGACCTCAAGCTGAGGTTTTTCATTGTTTCATTTGGATAATTCTAACTACAGAAATTACTTCTCAGGGGCCACAAAGCTGAATGGCATATTCACAACGATATAGTGCATAAAGGAAACTTTTTTTGCACAAATGAGGTCGGTTTTTAAGACAGTTTTATGAGTGATGTTAATCATTTTGTGATGAAAGTCTAACCCCATACATGTCGTGGGAGAAATGATTACTGTTGTTGAAAACAAAAAAGATGAACTATGTCATTTTTTATCTTGGGCTAGTTGGCTCGAAAATAGCATAGTGTAAACCATAAGTAAGCAATTTTCCAGTCCCGGAAGCCCTAAAATACTGCAATGTGGTCCGGCGACCACCCTCCCTCCTCACGCACAAACACACGCACGCACGCGCACACATGCAAACATGCGCGTGCACACACACGCATGCACACGCACACATACACAAACCCATCTCACCACGCTGATTACACTCATCAGTGGGTGCAGTCTAGTCTCATTTGCACACGACTTCATCAATTGGAATGAAGGGCATTTCAGCTGCACATGGTGAAAGGGAGACCGTTTATATGCCCAGAAAATGCATGGCTTCCACCTCCTGTAAATGTATCGATAGCAGCGTGCTCTCTTTTGTGTCAAGCCCTGATCCGTCATTACTGCACACCTCGTGCAAGAGTTATTGTTTTTAGATGGCAAGGAATATCGTGGACACTATATTGTTTTCATTCTCAATATTAAGCACTCCGCCAGAGAAGATATATATTTTGTGCCTCTGTGCTCTATGCTGTCATTAAATATTCCTGAGAAACGTGCCAAAGAAAACTTGCACGTCCAAGGTAATAGTAAAATATTTTAAAGTCAGTGCCAGTGTCACCATCAGCACTTCAGCTTCACAAGACCCCATGCTCTCACTGTCCACATTCTAGTTTACACTGTGATGCTAGGATGGCGAGAAACAAAGGTAACAGTATGAAGTCTCCACTGCAGCTGAGTTTATTTTCTAGAGAATGACAACTAATATACATTTAAACGACTAAAGGGGGATGGAAGAACAGACGTGCACTTTTAGATTGCACATCTGTAAAATATAAAACAAGCTAGTTGACTGAAACTAGCGAAACAGGATGGAACACTCCAAGTGGTGCTAAAGTGCCCGACAAAACTACCTCTTTGAAGGCTCAATAAGTCGATCGACTGGCAGAGGTTACCATTTTTTTCTACTGATATACGTGAAACATGAAATAGTTGTGTAGACAAACACATGGAACAAAAACTCCCGAATAAAAGTAACACAAGTGTTCATTGAAATGAAAACATGGCTGATTAACACAATTACCATGCTTCTCTAGCCAGCATTTTTGTTAAGGCTATTTGAGAGAAATTCCTTTTCTTACACAAAATATCTTATTCCTTGGCACACATTGAACAATTTATTGTTCGGCAAGTCCGGGAGTAGGGTTTTGTTCTTGTGGACATCGCACGTCTAGTTTCGGTTTCGCCACACGTTTAGTTTCGGTTTCGCCTCCGGCGTCTGGCAACTGGAGCCTGCTGAGGTATGCCGCCGGAGGGCGCGGGCGTTTGAGTAAACAGTTTCGAGTTACACTTTCGGGTTCGGAGAGACACGCCCGCACCGGGGCCAACGCGCTCATGTATTGCTGTACCTTGTGTAGTCAAGTATAATAAATAGTTTTATGTACCGGACATCTCCACTACATAATTGGTGACCCGGAGTTCCGGACAGCACACCTCGGTCACACGACCCCAAGCAACCACCGGTGAGCAAACATGACTTCCACCAACTGTTCCGCGGCTGACACGGCCACCCAGGCACCGCTTTCCCCCACCGTCTCCACCGTCGCTCTCAAACTTCCGTGCTTCTGGCCGGCGGACCCTGCCCTCTGGTTCGCGCAAGTTGAAGCCCAATTTGCGACGAGACGTATAACCTCCCAACAAACGAAATTCCACCACGTAATCGCCGCCCTCAACCCAACGGAAGCGGCGGAGGTGCGCGACATCATACTTTCTCCCCCGGCCGACCAGCCATTCGCACGGCTGAAACTCGAGCTCGTCCGCCGCACCACCCTCTCCCAGCAGAAGCGCCTGCAACAGCTCCTGACTGCGGAGGACCTGGGGGACCGAAAACCGTCCCAGTTACTCCGCGGGATGCGCCAGCTGCTCGGGGAGAAAGCTTCGACGGTCGACGACTCGCTCCTTCGGCAGTTGTTTTTGCAGCGCCTACCAGCTAATGTGTGCATGGTGTTGCCGGGTGCCGGAGACATGACGCTTGACGATCTCGCTGCCCTGGCGGATAGGGTAGTGGAAGTTGCGTCACCCAGCATCTCTGCCATCGACAGCTCGGTTCAAACGCTTCCAGCCTCAAACGAAGTAAAGAACCTGGTTTCCTTCACGAAATTCAGAGCCCTGCGCGACGAGGTCCAGCGCATCGCGCAGTCACTTGCAACCCTGGAAAAACCACGGCCGAGACGCCCTCGCTCCTTTTCTCGCCCTCGTGGGTCGTCGCGCGCGCCTGAGAGTACTGGAGTTTGCTGGTACCACCACCGCTTTGGCGACAACGCCACCAAGTGCGTCCTGCCCTGCGCTCAACAGGGAAACACCCGGGCCACGCACTGAAAGCGGCCGGTGCCCCTGGCCTCCCGGCGCGCCGCTTTTCTCCATCTTCCACCTGCCCAACTAGCCAAAATGAGCACCGGGGGGAGCCTTCAATGAACAGTTCTCATAATAACAAAATTAATTTGAAGAGTGAACATTTCGTGCCATCCCAAGCGCAAATTCAACCTGGAAAATTGTCTCACATATCAGGAGTGCCTTTTCAACCACGCCTATTTTATGTTGTGGACAAAGTATCCAAGACCCGCTTTCTGGTGGACACAGGTGCAGAGGTTAGTGCAATCCCAGCTTCACGTGTCGATCGTCTGAGGCGCCCAAGCTACAACTTGCAAGCTGTGAATGCTACAAAAATTGCAACGTACGGCCAGCGCTCTCAGACGATGGACATCGGTCTACGCCGAACTTTTCGCTGGGTTTTCTTGGTTGCCGACGTCAGTCACGCCATCCTCGGAGCTGATTTCCTCCGCCACTTCGGTCTCCTCGTTGACATGCGCAACACGCGGCTACGAGATGCCACAACGCTCCTGTCCGTGCCCGGCATCGCGGAGGCCACGGGGGCGGTGACTTCAACACTACTTCGACCGCAAGTCAGGTCAGACTTCGAGGATTTGCTGCGTGAGTTTTCTTCCCTGACGTCTCCAGTGACCACAACTCGCCCCATAAAGCACAACATCACGCACCACATCATCACGTCGGGACCACCCGTTCATGCACGCCCTCGCCGACTACCACCTGAGCGACTGAACGTGGCTCGGCGAGAGTTCGAGCACATGCTTGAACTCGGAATCGTGCGACCGTCCTCCAGCCCATGGTCGTCCCCACTGCATATGGTCCCCAAGTCCGCCCCTGGAGATTGGCGTCCTTGCGGTGACTACCGCTCCCTCAACCAAGTGACCCAACCAGACCGCTACCCTGTGCCCCACCTGCACGACTTTGTAGCCACTCTTCACGGAGCAACGGTGTTCTCTAAGGTGGACCTTGTCAAAGCCTATCACCAAATACCAGTAGAAGAAGCTGACATCGCAAAAACGGCCATCAATACGCCGTTTGGGTTGTTTGAGTACACCCGGATGCCCTTCGGACTTCGGAACGCGTCGCAGACTTTCCAGAGGTTTATCGATGAGATAACACGGGGCCTGGATTTCTGCTACGCGTATGTCGATGACATTCTCGTCGCCAGCACTTCTGCCGAAGCACATGCAAAACATCTGCGACAACTCTTCGCTCGCTTCGAAGAATATGGTGTACTCATCAACCCAGACAAATGTCAGTTTGGTGCTAGTGAAATTAATTTTCTGGGACATCGCATCAACTCCGACGGTCTTCGCCCGCTCGGCGATAAGGTGCAAGCAATTCGGGATTACCCTCAGCCACTTAACAAACGAAAACTTCGGCAATTTCTGGGATTGATTAACTTCCACCGAAGATTCCTCCCAGGTTGCGCACGCACACTGCAGCCTCTGAACAATCTCCTGTCATCCCCGGGACCGAACACCGCTCCGTTGGAGTGGACGGACCAGGCCCAGGCGTCGTTCGTGCAGATCAAGAAAGACCTGGCGGCAGCTGCGCTCCTCGTCCACCCTCAACCAGATGCAGCTACACGCCTCATGGTGGACGCATCTGGTGGCGGCGTTGGCGCGGTGTTACAGCAGCTTGTTGGTGAGACTTGGCAGCCTCTGGCATTTTTCTCCAAGTCCCTGTCACCTGCGGAAACTCGCTACAGCACCTACGGACGCGAGCTGCTGGCAGTCTACATGGCGGTCAAGTACTTCCGCCACTTCTTATAGGGACGGTCATTTCACATCATGACAGATCACAAACCCCTGATCCACGCCTTCACCACCAAAACGGATGGGCTCTCCCCAAGAGAAGTTCGACATCTGGCGTTCATATCGGGGTTCTGCACCGACATCCGCCATGTAAAGGGAACTGAAAACACCGCAGCTGACACTCTCTCACGCGCCAACGTCAGCAGCCTTACGTCCGCTACTCCCATTGATTTTGACAAGATGGCAACGCTTCAGAAAGAAGATGAAGAGCTCAGAGACCTACGTGCTTCTTCAGCCACGCTAATTTTTCAAGACGTGCCCCTGCCGGCATGCACTCAGCTCCTCACATGCGACATTTCCACTGGCACCGCGCGCCCGTTCGTGCCGAAGTCCTTCCGACGCTCAGTGTTCGACTCTCTGCATAACCTCTCCCATCCCGGAATCCGCGCCACACAAGCATTGGTGAAAGCCCGATATGTGTGGCCGGGCATGAACATGGACATTCGAGATTGGGCTCGCACATGCACCCAGTGTCAACGCTCTAAAGTGCAGCGTCACACTGTTTCTCCGCTCTCTCCATTCCTGCCGCCCAATGCCCGGTTCAGCGAGGTTCACATTGACATTGTGGGACCTCTGCCACCCTCACAAGACTGTTCCTACATACTCACTTGTGTGGATCGCTTCACCCGCTGGCCGGAGGCTATCCCCCTGCGAGACATGTCCGCGGAAACCGTCGCTAAGGCGTTTCTGCAGACGTGGATTGCGCGCTTCGGTACACCTTCTAAGGTCACAACCGACCGTGTTCGCCAGTTCGAATCTGCCCTTTTCAGAGAGTTCCTAACGCTCTTGGGAATACTTAGGATTCGCACCACCGCCTATCACCCCGCAGCTAACGGCCTGGTGGAGCGGATGCACCGGCACCTGAAGGCATCAATCACCGCTTACGGCGAGCCCTCACGCTGGACCGAAGTGCTGCCACTCGTCCTCCTGGGCATGCGCACAACACTCAAGAGTGACCTGCAGTGCACCAGCGCTGAGTTGCTCTACGGCACTACCCTGCGGCTCCCCGGCCAATTCGTTGCAGCCAACATAGACGAGCAGCTTCGAGATCCCCTCCAGTACGTGTCACGCTTACGGACAATCATGGACAGCCTCCGTCCGACACCAACCCGTGCTAAACAGAGTCCTACCGTGTACCTGTTTAAGGAACTTGACACTTGTACCCATATATTCCTGCGCCGCGATGCTGTGAGAAAACCCCTCCAGCCGCCGTACGACGGCCCGTTTAAAGTCATTCGTCGTGGTACGAAACACTACACAATCGAAGTGCGCGGACGATCAGAAGTGGTTTCGGTGGATCGATTAAAGCCGGCTCACCTCGAGCATTCAATCACCACTCCAACTAGTGCGCCGGCGAGAAATTCTGCAGACTCTCCGACGACGCGTGGTGGACGAAGGGTCCGTCAACCCGTACGATTTGTGCCGTAACGATTTGTGCATGTATTATTTTAATTTTTCAACATTTCTGGAAGGGGGAGTAGTGTGGACCTCGCACGTCTAGTTTCGGTTTCGCCACACGTTTAGTTTCGGTTTCGCCTCCGGCGTCTGGCTACTGGAGCCTGCTGAGGTATGCCGCCGGAGGGCGCGGGCGTTTGAGTAAACAGTTTTGAGTTACACTTTCGGGATCGGAGGGACACGCCCGCACCGGGGCCAACGCGCTCATGTATTGCTGTACCTTGTGTAGTCAAGTATAATAAATAATTTTATGTACCGGACATCTCCACTACATTCTCATTTACTTTTACACTGTTTTAATTCTCAAGCAAGCTTTAAACAAAAAGGGATCACTCTAAGCGATTGAAACGAACTGTATTTGTTAGCAGGCATCTTGCAAAAGAGAGTATTGTTTTGTTGAACCTGATGAAACTAATTCATTGAAACTGATTGATTAAATATTGATTTAAGGGCAAAAGTGTCAATTGGGAGCTTGTTGAGAGCTTTAAAGAGCACTCGATGGAGGTGCTTGCACCATATTACACTTTGCCTGGTTCTTTTCTCCAGCCTTCAAAAAACGCCCACAAAATGCAAAGAATACCACATGACATTGCACTCCCCTAATCGCAGCGCACGCGTGCGCTGCGAGCGGGTGTTTTTTTTAGGGTTGAATAAAAGAAGCACTCAAGGTGCACCACATTGCAAACTCCTCCATTGGGTGTTTATTCAGGCTCTCTACGACATTCCGATCGACACCTTTAATTTCCTTTAAATATTTACAGAACAAGGTTATTAGTCGTAATTATTTAATTAGGCACAATAAAAAAAGATATTGGCCCTGGCAAGACGTGTGCTAAGAAATGCAGTTGGTTCCATTTGCCTGTAATGCTCCGCTTTTTTTAAGCTTGGTTCCAGACAACTGTAACACCCTGTGTACCTTATTAAGCGACCAGGCGCACTTTTCCCTAAAATCGTTACTTATTAATATGTGGCGGTGCGCGTAATTCCCGCCGGCGGTTCAAACATCTTGAACATGGCGGCAACCCAGATATCTGGTTCACAACACTTTGGTGTCCTTATTAGAAATGAATGTATCATTATCCATATAATGGACATCTGCCAAATCGGTCGTTGGCACTCACTAACATCGCATCCATATTTTTCCTATGTAACGCATAGTTTTTGTAGGAAAGTTTTGGCCAGCATTCCATAACCTCTCTGTGTATTTAAATAATACATGTTTCATGGGGAACAATGCTATAGTAAAAAGATATGTTTGTTTGATTTCAGGGGTATTGCAAGCATCAACCCACCGAGGGGCACCAAGATTCTTAAAAAGAAGAAGAAGCAACACTGTGTGTCACCCGCGGCTGCCAAGCTGATGGCTTTCCTGGAGGAATATGCCTTTTAAGCTGAAACAGTCTTAAAGCCTTCCTGATTTAAATAAAAGGTATGTTCCGGAAATGTCATCTTTAAGCCCAAGCAAGGCAAAGGGAAGGAATAAAAAGGTGGCATAAATAGAGCGGTACGCTGTCAATTGTACCGGATAAATTGGCTTCTGAATTTTCACCACACGTGTACTCTAGTGGTGCACATTACCTTGTGAACCTCTAAAGCACAGATCCATTTCTGTGAGAAATAAGGACAAGAATCCTTGTAGCCTCTATGGCGGGCACCAATGCAGGCGACCGAGTCGCAGTGAGCGGCTAGAGCCCGATGCGAAATGAGTGCTCTCATTTCACATAAAATGGAAGACTCATTTCACAACGGGCGCAGGTCGAATCGAGCGGTCAACTGGCGATGCGACTTGGTTGTCTGTGTCGTTGCCCACCATAGAGATGCATGTTTGCAAGATAACTAGTGCCATTAAAATAGACGTTTGGGTAAAATTTGATATAGCTGTGTGCAGAAGCTAATTTCTAGGTACCAATTTACAGCCTTCCACTATTTAGGCCACCCTACACTGGGTTTATTTATAATGCAAGGGTGCAAGCGAGCTGGACAAGAATGATGAAAATAATTCCTGGAGAAGAGGAACAAGAAGGACAAACAGAAATCCCCAAACACAGTTAGGTGACTGGTGAGCGACCGAAAAGATCCGCCTGGTCCTGGTATCGAACCCGGGACCTCTGCATTACAGGTGGAGCGCTCTACCAACTGAGCTTACCAGGGGTTAGACGTCAGTAGAGCAAACGGGTTTGTGTTTGTCCTTTGTCCTTCTTGTTTCCCTTCTCCAGGGATTATTTTCATCATTCTTGTGCAGCTCGCTTGCACCCTTGCATGTAATTGCATTATAATTATAACCTTAAATTGCAAGCTTCACCCTCGTTGGTGTTAGACTGGTAGCAGCTGATAAAACCCGTTTGCTCTACTGACGTCTAACCCCTGGTTAGCTCAGTTGGTAGAGCGCTCCACCTGTAATGGAGAGGTCCCGGGTTCGATACCAGGACCAGCCGGATTTTTTCGGTTGCTCACCAGTCACCTAGCTGTGTTTGGGGATTTGTGTTTGTCCTTTGTCCTTGTTCCCCTTCTCCAGGAATTATTTTCATCACTACACTGGGTGTTTGGTTTTAGCTGCCCTAAGTTTTCAAAACAATAAGTTTCATTAGGTAACTTCATTTTGCAATCAGCTTACTCTACTTAGCGGGCACTACAAAGTTGTTTGTGGAAGTAGGTGGCTAATTAACATATATTTTAAATTAACTTCTAATTAGTAAACGGAGCCATATTCTTGCAATTAGAAACTTGCTGGCCATAGTCGAAAGCCACTAAACCTGTTCATTAGAAATGCTGAAAGAACGTGCATTGTTTTCACATTCATTTAATGTAAAATCTATGCACCTCACAGAAATAGGGTGGGCACCCCATTGGTCATAGTCAAGAGAACCATTTAATAAGGCATGTAGTGCTTAGGATAATTAAGTTTTAAAATAGTTTTGCATACAATGATATTAACCAGTTTTAGAGACTTGCTGGGCATAATCGGAAATCACTAAATCTGTTATTTTTAGAAGGATTGGGGGCACGTACGAAGTGTGATATTTCACAAAAGGTACCACTTTTCATACAGGCGCAAGCCTGGCAAAGCGAAAATGTGGATGATGAGACGGAAAAACTTGAAGGTCACGACAGATTTGCAGGCCAGAGAAACAATACATGTGCTCCTAGTCTCTAAATTTGAATGATTTAGTGGTTTATCACGATGCTTATCAAGTTTCTAATTGTAACTATACGCTTATTTTTTTAACGAAAAGGTTAATTAAAACATCTGTTCCTAGTGGCCGCCAAGTCAAGCAAACTAATGGCACTATCAAGATTTCCCTGGTGCAAGTTCTCTTCAATATTTTTGTCCATAAAAAGAATACCAGGTATATACTCAGGAAGTGTATCGTTAAGAGCCCAAGAGGGCAGAGTTAAGAGTCGAAGTAGGTATGTTCAATAAATTCCATTTAGTCTGAGCCCCAAGCGGGCCAAAAGTTAAGAAATAAAACTGCAGTTTCTAATAGTCTGTTGAAGAGAAGCCATCTGTTCAGAGCCAAAGCGTGCCGAGTGCAAGAAATAAAGTGGTTATTTACAAATATTACAATATCTCATGTTTTCTTTCTTTAACAAGTTTGACGACTTCTTTCATCGCGAACATCCCGGCGTTAATAAGTCCAGGAAGGTAGGGAAAGTGTAAATATGGCGTGTTCCCAAAATAATCAGTGGTTTATTTCAATTCATCTGGAATATTTGATCTCACTGACATTTCTGTGCCACAGAAAAAAAAAAAGAGTTCTCGAGTTGATCTCAGAAACATTATACTTAACTTGAATTTCGGCTAATTAAAAAATAACCCTCTAAAAAGCTGCAAGCCTGCGAGCTTTTGAAGCTTGCAAAATGTTGGTTGATGAGCCCAATTTGAAAACATGTTTCTTTCACACGTCTACGGAATACAGTAACTATTGCCGTATTCTGTATGCAGGGTGCGGTAACAATGTATAAGGGCAGGTATAAAACTATAAGGCCTCAAAATGCTTTGTCGCAAAATATAGCGTATTTATTCATCAAATAAATTATTGCCGTGCTTCTCACAGGCAGTTAGTAATTTATCAATAACTATTCAAACTCTTCACATTCACATTGCAAAGTAAGACTCAATTCCGCCCCTGTAGAGGTCGTTACTCCTACTTCGAGACTCGTGTGCAGTGTCGGCTTATCTTCCGAGAAATGTAGTCCGAGTCTAGGCGAAACAAAAGATAGTTAACAAATGCACTCGGAAGATGCCACTTTCTGGATGTTGATGATCTGGAACTGCATGCCAATCTGCCAAGTCGAAGCAAGGACTTTTACAGAACTGGAATTCAGCGCCTTACTCAGCAATAGAGAAAGACTGAATAATAATAGAGGCCTTGTTAAAACAAGTGTAAATGTTTAAGATTATGTCGATAATCGGCAGCGAGTAAGTATATGCGCTACCTTACAAGAAAATTTGACATTACCCTCTCACTTTCTGTTGTACATGTTTCTTTGTGTACTGCTCCCGCAAAGGCGACGGACAGCAACAGCCGACTCTGAGAAACCTCCGGCATTCACACAGGTGTTATCTTTGGCAGGCTTGAATCACTCGAGCTTCGTTCCCGAGCTCCGTGAACGAGGCATGACTGATTGCAAACATGCCAAACTTCGCTTTGCATTGATGCTGCATGCAATCGTGTTTTGTCTGTGTCGGCTGTTGCTTATGTCGCTCTAGTAGGACTGGGACTTAACATATTTTTTCTCGATGCTGTGGGACAGTTATTTTTATTACGTAAACTCTGCTACATGTTTTAATGGAAACTAACTTTCTTGTTAAAAATCTTTTTAAGTTGTCTTTTTACAAAGGCGTAGAACAGAAACTCTCTCTCCTTTTCAAAATAAACTTTTTTTCCCGATATTCAAAAATAGAAAGTCGATCTTTCTACAGAGTCCCAGAACAGAAACTCTGTTTACTTTTCGAAAAAAAAAGCTGTTTTTAAACAACATTTAAAAATAGAAAGTCGATCTTTTTACAGAGTCCCAGAACAGACAACCATTCTTTTAACAGAAATCATTTTCCCGCAAAATTGGGACAACAGTGTGTCGATTTTTTTACAAAGTTCCAAAACAGACAATCCTTCTTTTAACACAAGCCGGTGTTTTCAAAATAATCGACTACAGAAAGCTGATATTTTTACAAAGTTCCTGAACAGACACTCTTTGTTTTAACAGAAACCGGTTTTTCGCAAAATTTGACAACAGAAAGTCTATTTTTTTTACAGAAAAGCCAAGAACAGGAAATGCTATGATTTTAAGGGAAAGCAGGAAAACAGGGAAACAGACGAAAACAGAAAATTCATGGCAAGAAACTTGCCAAGCTTTTTCTGTATTTTTACACAGATATTTTTTACAGTGTACTACAGACGGTTTGTTTGGAACTTCGCAGAGCTTTCCGCACCACTGACGCACCTCACGAAGGACGCCGTAAAGTTCGAATGGACAGAAGAACACCAGCGTTCATTCGATAACGAAGACTCCAGACGCCCCCGATCCTTGGCCATTTCGACCAGTTCGTTGAGACGTTCGTGTGGACACCAGTCCACTCGGACGCCAGTAACACCGGGCTTGGCGCGGTTCTAGTCCAAATGCAGGACAGGACAGAGCGAGTCACCGAATACGCGAGTAGCACGCTGTCTAAGGCGGAGAAAAACTACCCAACGACAGAAAAGAAGTGCCTTGCTGTCGTCTGGGCAGCAACAAAGTGCCGCTGATATTTGTATGGAAGTCCATTTCGGGTGGTCACGGACCACCACTCGCTCTGCTGGCTCGCGAATCTGAAGGACCCCTCCGGACGCCTTCATCGGTGGGGCCCACGACTGCAGGAGTTCGACATGACCGTGGCGTACAAGTCCGGTCGAAAGGACAATGACGCCAACTGATTGTCAAGGGCCCCGGCCGAGACCGGTCCTGCCTGCACCAAAAACGACGACGATGAGTGTTTCCTCGGCGCTCTGAATGTCAGCGACATGGCAGCACTCCAACGAGACTACCCCGAACTGCGAGCGCTCATTGAACACCTAGAGGGACAAGCGAGTACGGTTCCCTGTGCTTTCTTACGAATACTGCACTCTAAGAAAAAATGGAGGAAAAAGGTAGCAACGCTGCGTCTTCCTCCCTTCCACTGACGCTCCTCCAAGCGGACACGAGAAGAAGGGAGGAACGAGACGTTTTTCTCCTTCTCCAGGCAGACGGGGGAAAGCTTTCGCCCTCCCGGCTCCTCTTCTTTCGGTTTCGTTTCTCTAGCACGTCGCGCACGTTGTTAAATAATTGTTGTTGAGTTGAGCGAGCTTCAGCGGCAGCGAAGGCCGCCTGTAATTCCATCTTCTAGTCCAAATGTGGAGAACATTTCGGTTGCATTGACGTTTTTACCACTAATTTTATCAAACGAGCAACGAAGCTGCTAGAAAGAGCGAAGTTCCGGAACAGTGCCAGCAGCGCTACGTACACTGGGTAAGATGGCCGTCCCTGGATTGCGGTGGGACCCACACGGAACTACAGTAGCGGGACCACAGTAGCGGAACCACAGTAGCGGAACCACAGTAGCGGAACCACGCGGAACTGCGTCGACGTTTTCGACGTTATGGAAATCGCAATAACTGCGTCCAAGGCGGGCAGGTTTTTCTGCCGGCTGTCTGGGTGCCTTCCGTGCTGAGTTTGGTTCTGCTTTCCCGTGCCGAGTGCCAACCCGCGTTCAACGTGGTTCTGCATTGCTGCGTGTCAGCAACATAGCAGCACCATCGTGATGGCACTGTTGTGCGTAGTGAACATTAGACTGGAATTATCGCCGATGTGACTGTGTGTTCGCGTATCAGTGGATTAACAACAAGATGAGATTACGTAAACTGTCGGTCATTGATGCCGCTGGTCGGGCCGTGATCGGAGGGGGCGGGGTGTCGCAGGTTGACATTCCGCTTTACATTATAGAGTTCAGGAACACTTGGGGAATTAGGTGCAGTCGATCGACGTGCGGATAGTCATGTTGAAACGTTGGTCTGAACGGTAAGTTCCTATCGTACAGTGGAAAGTGTGACTGTCGGTTCCCGAGAGCGATTGCGCTCTAGGGAAGAGACTGAACAGTACGCAATTATGACGGAAAGTATGTATATTTACAGTGAAATTTTAGCATAAAAAAACAGGCGAAATCGAAAAAAAAAAGCTATCCTGCATTTTGCTGTTTAATTATACTACGGTTCCTGGAGAAACTGCCCTCCAAGTGGCGCGCTAGGATGAGCGCAAGAAATTTTCGAGCTCGCCACGGCGTAGCTCCGTACACTTAACACATACCGCAAGTCGCGGCTTTGACTGCATTCAGATTGATTAAAAAGCGATTTCTCTGCCCGTGAAGCATCCCTTCCAGCTGCGTGAATATCCGCTCTACAGAAATTAATTCAAGACGTCAAATTCAGCGGTGCGCGAACAGCACAAATAGAAAAAAAAAAAAAACACTACAATAGAAATACTGGCCACGAAGTGCCGTGCGGGGAAACAAACTCATGGCATGGACCCGCATTGGAGCGGCTCAATTTATTGAATTTCAAAAAATTACGGCATGAACGAGCGTTTTCTTTTTAATAAGAGATTCATCCCCTGAGCCATTATAAATACTCTCAGATGTATGACATTGCTGGGAAAAAATCAACATGTTGGGAATACGTTTTATTGCTTAGGGGGTCAACGAAACATTCCGTACGTTCAAAACGACCAGTATAAAAGACGGAAACGCAGAGCTCGGGAGTAGATATCGGGTCATTCCACTTCCGGTGCTCGCACGAGAAGGACGCGGAATCATGAGCTCCCCCGGAGCGTTATCCACGGCCCTGGCTCGCCGCGGTTTTTTGGTTTCAACGACTGATAGCGACTATCGCATTGTGCTGCCTACGTTGCCGTCAGGAATTATCGTACGGAATTCTGTGTTGCTGCATTGCGACATCACCGGGAGGCCATACAAGATAGGAGATTTCAAGGCTGAAATGCAACGTCTGGGTGTGATGGGGGACATCGAAGCCTTCGGAGCATTCCAGATGAATCATCTGTGGATCATCACGCTGAAGTCGGCGGACACCAAGCAGCGCCTGGTCGACGCTAAGGAGCTCTGCATCAAGGACAAGCGCTGCCTCGTCGTAGACCCAGACAACGCGGACGTCCGTATGAAGCTTCACTGGATCCCGTTCCACGTGTCCGACGAATCTGTGAAGATTGCCCTCGAGCCTTTCGGCAGGGCTCAAGAAATTTCACGGGAAAAGTGGAGGGCAGAAGGCTTCACCGGCGTCCAGTCGACAACGAGGCTTGTGCGGATAAGCCTGAAGGAGGGCGTCATCCAGGAGCGCCTTCCACACCAGCTGAAGATTGCTGGCGGCAAGGTCCTCGTCGTTGTGGCGGGGCGCGCGCCACTGTGCCTCCAGTGCAAGGGAACAGGACATATTCGACGGGAGTGTCGTGTCCCAAGGTGCGACGGATGTCATCGCATCGGGCACGAACGTGAGAACTGCGTTAGGAGCTACGCAGCCGTCACGCAAGAGGCAGCAGGGACCGGAGATGGTGCAACCCTTGAGATAGACGAGGAGGAAGCAGAGGATGCCGCACGGGAAACCGAGCCGGAGGTACCCGCTCCTGCGCGTAGGGAAAAGGCCGCCGTTTCCGCAGCAGACGGTGTCAACACCCCAGGGGAACAGTACGGAAAAGACGCGGAGGAACGAGCCAGTTCACAAGGGTCTAGCAAAGGGTATGACGTCGCGGTTGTCCCCCAAGACCAAGACCCAGAGCAGCCAAGCGGTGCAGGTAACCAAGTCGCGGAAACAGTCGACAAGGAGGGCACTAACGTAAGACACGTCAATGACTACGATTCCGACATGCACGAAGCCGGCGAGGAGTTGAAGCAGCGGCAGGGCGGGCACGCTGCGGAGGGCAACCTCACAGCGCGCTCCGAGTTCAAGTGGCGAACGCAGATGATGAAGAAGGAGCGATTCAATCCGAACCTACGCACGCCGCAGGAAGACCGTCGACGAACAGCCCCTCAACAGGTGGGTCCGCCTTGCTACTCATTTCTGTGCAAACTCAAAGTCCGTTTCTCTTGAGCCAGACCCCCCCCCCCCCCTTCCCATAGTACGCAATGCAACCGCTCAAGTTTGCTACCTTTAACTGTGTCGGCCTGGTGGCCCCAATCAGAAAGCAGTGGATGCTAAACACACTCTTGCAAAGGAAGGTAGACGTCGCGTTCTTGCAAGAAACCCAGCTTTCTACAGACAGCCAGGTGCAAGGAATGAGTCGGTTTGTAGAACGACACTTCACTTTCTTTCTGTCGAAGGCAAGCAGACAGAGTGGGGGCACGGCGATCATGATTCGCAAGAAAAGGGGAATCACAGTCTGCCCTGAATGGGAGATCGACAGGAATGGACGAGTTTGCAGCGTAGAAGCGTTGTATCACGGGGAGTTACATAAATTTGTGTCGGTCTACGCTCCCAATGAGGCGGCTGATCGAACAGACTTTTTCAAGAACCTGCTGCAACACGTAGACACACCGTGCAAGACGGTGCTAGCGGGTGACTTCAACTGTGTGCTGTCTGAGCGTGACTGTTCTAAGCGCTTACGTTCCGACGCCAGTAGGGTTGAACTAAGGAAGATACTGCGAGATTTCGATCTTGTAGACGCCAAGGAATATGCATCAACAGAAGATCCGGCATACACCCACTGGCCGGGAGACTGCCATGCACGCCTAGATCGCGTGTATCTTTCTGGGGACCTCCCAACAGCATCGTCGGTGCTCGAAGTTTGGCCTGTAGCCTTCTCGGACCACGCCTTAGTCACGGTAACTTTGGGAAGACCCGGCCCCCGAGTCCAGAAGTCCTCATGGTGGAGCGGCTGGAAGCTGAACGAAAGTCTGCTCGAGGACGAACCACTGCGCGTTCAGATTAAGGAGCTGATCGAGAGCAGAAGCAAAGGTATGGTCATGGATGCAGTAATCTGGGAGGAGCTTAAAGAAGAGATAAAGCTGGCAGCCTTCAGGTACAGTCAAGAGAGGGCAACAAGGGCGAAGACGGAGAAGCGCTTCCTGACACAGACGCTGCGAACCCTGATAGCGGAAGAAAATCGGACACCTGGAGTTTTTACGCAAGATATCCGGGAGTGCAAAGGCCGTATTCTTGAGCTCTTAGAGAAGGAGTACCGTGGAGCCATGATCCACAGCAGAACGTTGTTCTTGGAAAAGGACGAAGAGCCGCAAAAGATATTCAAGACAAAGGAGCGGTTGCATGCTACTCGCAACAGGATCGAAAAGCTACAGGTTGGCGAGAATGAGCTAGCACAACAAAACGAAATAGAAGACGCATTTTTGCACGCCTACACCAATCTTTTTACAGGTGTGGAGGAAAATCAGGTACACCCAACATCCGAAGGAGCGCTCCCAAAGATCTCGGAAGCCGTCAGAAAACAAATGAACCGGAAGATAACGATCTCGGAAGTAAAGAAGGCCATTAAGGATCTAACCCCGGGCAAGTCTCCGGGAATCGATAGACTTGGTAGCTCCTTCTACAAGGCGTACGTAGAACTGCTGAGCCCGATCCTTCGAGAAGTTTTTTCGGATATACTCAAGCGAGAACTTCTGCCACCCTCCATGCGTCAGGCAGTCACAGTCCTGATTCCCAAGAAGAAGGCAGAAGGAACTCCAGAAGTTGGTAACTTCCGACCAATAAGTCTAATGACCAGTGATTATAAGATCCTAGCTAAAATCATAGCAAAGCGTCTGGAATGGGGACTCCGAGACGTCATCGGAGAACATCAAACCTACGGAGTCAAGGGCAGAACCATCAGCACCAATCTGCACACGATGCGAGTGGTGTACGAGGCGGCGCAGGTGCTACAGTGCCCGTTAGCAGTGCTTCAGGTAGACCTCAGCAAGGCATTTGACCGGGTGTGCCACGCCTTCCTCTTCCGACTACTAGAGAACTGCGGGATCGGTTCACGCTTGCTCCGGTACGTACAAATATGCTATCGGAGCATCACAACACGATTGCTGGTGAATGGGAACATGACAGCTCCCATTTCTGTGACTAGGTCGGTGCGACTAGGATGTCCTATGTCGCCGATACTATTCGCGTTGTACCTAGAGCCACTATGCAGGACGATCATTGGTGACGCAAACATTCGCGGGCTGTCCTTGTCGACAGGGTCCCTGAAAGTGCTTGCCTACGCAGACGACGTAGCTGTTGTGTGTTCATCGAGAACGCAAGTACGCGAAGTGATCCGACACATCACAGATTTCTGCGATGCCTCGGGTGCTGAAATGAACACAGACAAGTCGGCCGGACCGTGGCTGGGAGACTGAGATGTGAAGCCACAACGATACCTCGGAATCACCTGGACGGAAAGTGTGTCGAACTACCTAGGTGTAAGCCTGGATGCGGAGCAACTGAGTGCTGGGCGCGGAGGTGTGAACATTAACCGCCTTAGAAGCAAAGTTCAAGACTGGCATGCCAGGCAGATGTCTTTGTTTAGCCGATCATTCATATTCAACTCTGTATTTTTTCCGACCGTATGGTACGCGGCACAAGTGATGCCATGTTCACAAAGGGACATTGCTAAATCTCATCGTTTCTTGGCCACTTTTGTCTGGGATTCGTGTTTTGAGCGCATGAGGCGAGATAACTTGTTTTTGAGCAAAAAGAAGGGCTGCCTAGGTCCGGTAAACGTTGAGCTTAAGTTGAAAGTTCGACGTTTCCTTTTTTTCGAGATCAAAAAGATCCACTCATAGTTTCTTCTTTTAAAAATCTGGGAGGGAGATTGTTTAGGCCATGGGTAGAGGGTGAGACCGGGAACTCCTGTTCGCGTGTTTTGAAGTTTTATAAAGAAATAGCGGCAGCGATTGAGTTTTTCAAAGCACGGCTTTTGGAGGAGTACTTGAAGAAGGTTAATAGGAAAACTTTATACTGGGACACCCTAGGCTTGCTTACGCCGCCGCCGTTATATCGCGTGGTGGATGGAAGCCATGTCGAGTTGGATGTTTTTCAACGGCTGCGAAGATACCCCGTCAAAACAAGTACCAAAAACTTTTTTGCGCGCTATCATTTTGGAGTGTTGCCTGTCAAGACCTGGCGGGTCAAGAAGGGGTTTTATGAACCATGGTCCACAAATTGTGTATTGTGTCCGACACCGGAAACTTTACAACATGTGTTTTTGTATTGCACCAATGCGGAACTTTTTTGGGCAGAACTCCGAGCGGTCTTGAGGATCGACTTGTATGTGGGATGGAAACGGGCAAAATTTTTGAAGTTCGGAGAGGGGCCAGAGAGCAGAGCGTGGGAAGTACTAGGCCTCCTTCGCCTCCATGCAATATGGAGATCGAGGACAGACCACTTAGAAGTAGCGGAGAGAGGAAAGCCCGCCTGGCAGCATTTTGTCTACGGGTTTAAGTACGTCTGCTCTTTGACTGAAGTAACGGAGCAACCTGGTTTAGAGTGCTGGTCGCAATTGAATGCAAGATTGCAAAAGCGAGAACTCACTTCGAGAGGTGAACATTGAAGCGCCATGACCCTCGACGGGCGGCAGCCGCTTTTTTCTGTGGAACATGCGCTCTTTACCTCATTCAGGACATAAACCTATCGGGGATGGTGAGGAAACGACAGCCCAGAGTGCTAGCCTTGTCGGATCCGTAGCCGAGAGTGCGTGCCGTTGTCCGATCGACACTGTAACCACGCAAGACATGTTTCTCTGGTTGAAAAAAAAAAAGAAAAAGCCTGTCATCTTTTTAATCATGTACATATAAAACTTTTAAATAAAGAGAAAAAAAAAGTAGATATCGGGTCAGTGTACTGTTGCGTTGATGTTTGTATGTGCGATGCATGCATATGTATGTTCAGCTGATGCTTGCAGTATGCATAATGTGTCTACATGTGTGTATGATAGAGGTCTCCGAAGCGAAGTGGTGGCGCGACAAAATAATATTTGTGTAGAACATGAACTGGGCGGTACCAATGCTGTGTATATAGCGCCACCTAGCCTAGCTATTTGCGACTACTCTGCTTGACCCTGCGTCTGGTGGTAAGCGATTTAACTTCCTTTTACTCTACAAGGCTAAGCCATAATTTCGTGTTACCGTACTGAAATGAGCCAAGAGGCTGCCTCGGATTTGCTTTTTTAGAGCGGCTTTTGGTTTTGCGGGCGAATGGTTTACCACTCCTCCGTTATGTGTGGTTGACGCAACGGTTGACCAAGGCATTGTGGCTCAAGGAATAGCTAAGGTAAGACATAAAGTGCGCGAACTGGGTGCCGTTTGTCTCCGTTTAACATCGCAGTGCTGACGACGAGAAGACTGAGTGACTGCATGCTTTCGAAACATAAGTTTCTTTACCTGCAGGGGGAAGCCGGCTTCGAAAATAAATACAGTTCGAGGAAAGCTCTTTTTGCGTTTTTATTTGCTGCTCCTCTCTCTCTGTACAATAGACTGAGGAACTCCTATTTCTTGAACTAATATGAGTCTGACAAAGTAGAGCCGAATCAAACCTGGAATGCACTGTCCGTCAAAAAGTATCCTATTCACTTCACAATTCGGCTTCGTATACAATATCTCTAAAGGTCTTTAAGTATTTCAAACCTCCATGTGGCGTCGTATGTTTTTTCTAAGACTAAGACAACAAAGACGAAGTGGTATTTATGCACGAATGCTTCGCCGCTCCTTGTTACCTGGAGGACGCAGTGATTCACTGCAGAGCGTCCGCGACGAAAGCCGCACTGGTTATTTGTAATGAGATTTTCATTTTCTCAAAATCTCTCAGTGCTGTTTGAAGCTAGAACGGTGGTGCTAAGAACGAAAACATATAGGGCTAAATTGCAGGAAGTAGATACTCTGTGAGACGTATCCAACCGCAAAAAAGAAACTATAGAACATGTAATTTTAATGTGCACGGGGCTTTGTCCAACCCTCTTGGGGCGATGACTAGGAATTTGGAGGGGACACTGGGGTTTTTGGAGATGGACGGAAGAATGGATAGGGAAAGAATTGCGGGAACTAAGAGAAGATTAGAAGATTGGTGGAAAAGACCTAGGGAGGGGTGAAAATACAGATAAAAATAAGCAAGGATAA